ATGGCACAATTCAATTTGCTAAATTGAGTTGTATCTGATTGAAGATTTTACTTTTCAATTAAAAGACCTTGCTATTGATTTAGCTTTCGACCCTCTTCAGTCCTGGATATAATTTTGTGCACTTTGCTCCTTGAAGACATCTACATTTCTATTAAGGTGATGAGTGCCATTCAAGAGCAACCTAATCAAATGCCAAAAAAATGCATTTAATACTGTATCTGCTAAAATATATAGCTAGGTAATTCCTTAAAAATGAAACTCTTCTAATAAGGTTTTGCACAGATTTGAAAATCCAGAGATATGGTTTTCATTTTATTGACTCTTTAAAAAAATCACAGCTGACCTTCAATATGACATTAGTTTCAGGTGTACAGCATAGTGGTTAGACATTTATATAACAAGATGTGGTTTTAAATGCTTATAACTATTATATATTTAGTCTGTCTGGAAAAAATCCAGCCATTGTTAATGTAAGAAAGGTTTGTGAGACATCGATGTAACCTGGCAGCCAAGGAGAGTGGGCTGGAATGCACATGTGTGAACAATGATGACTTCACTGTAGGGGGGGGCAACAGACAACACTGAGTGAGCATGCATACCAGGTGGCTGTATGACTGCCAAAATGACTGCACAAGGAGAGTAACAAAGCTGCATCACATTTTGCAGTAGGCTTGAACATTCCTCCATGGAAACTACTCAGATGGTTCAGTAGGGCACAGTTATGGGCAACTGGTGACTGGCAGCTTCATCACAACAACACACCCACTCATGCATCACATCTCATGCAGTTTTTTGGCAAAACATCAAATCACCCAAGTGGCTCAGCCTGCCTACACCCCAGATATGGTGCCCTGAGACTTCTGGCTTTTCCCAAAACTACAATCATCTTTGAAAGGGAACAGATTTCAGACAGCGGTGAGATTCAGGAAAATACGGCAGGCAGCTGATGGTGATTGGGAGAACTGTGTGAGGTCCCAAGGTGCCTGCTTCGAAGGGGACTGAGGTGTCATTATCTTATGTAAGCTGTTTCTTGTATCTTGTATCTGCTTCAATAAATGTCTCTACTCTTCATAGTACATGGCTGGATACCTTCTGAACAGACCTGGTATATACTCAAAGAATATATTCTAGTAACCCTTAATGGTGACTTAAAATGGAATTTCTAGAGAAACCAAGTAGGCTGAAAGAATTTAAAAACTTTGAATATGAACTACAGAGTAGCCCTGTAGTTTGGAGACCACATGCCAGTGATACAGACACTACTCAACTACACAGGAGAATCAATGCATTGTGATTTTCACAGCAAGGATAGAATGGAAACTAATGCATAATTACATGTGAAAGGGAAATTTCATTTTCAGGCACTTAAAAGTATAATCAGTTGTCATCGAAAAGGAAAAAGAATATAATAAGTATCCATAAAACACTTATAAAAAATTATTGTAAGAGACCTGTACTGCAAGGGAGCAGCAATATTGTGAGGTTGTTAAGGACTAGAAACCTGCACCAAGGTTACACAGATTCACATCCCAGCTCTGCCACATACTAGCCAGGTAACCCACTCTTTCTATACCTTCATTTCCTCAGTTATAAAATGAAAATAAAAATAGGACAAACTCACAGGGATATTATGTGAATTAAGTAAAGTAATACAGGTAAAGCATTTAGAATGGTGCCTGGAACCTTGTAAACACTCAAGAAATACTTTTATCCCTCTTCTTTTCCCTCCTCTATTTCCTCCTTCCTCTCTTTCTCTTGTTTTTCACATAAATAAGTTGTACTATTTGATTAGACATATGTATTGCTGTAAACTTAAAATTATAAATATGCAACTTACAATATTTCAGTTGGAGACAATGTTATACTTAGATCAGCCCTTCTGAGTTTTTGTATTCAGCCACTGACAACGGTCAGTTAATTCCATATCCCACTAAGAGGCCTGTACTCCTTAGATATCGCTCCTTTGTTTACAGTTTTGCATGTTCTTTTCTCCAAATTATCTATAGAGCTTAGAATTTCCATTCAACTCTGAAGGCTAATAAAACTTTTCAAACAAACAACTAGTCTGAAACTTCCAGACGCTCTACCTACACCTAATCTAAAGGTAGTAGGAAACCAGTGCACACCTGGAGACTCATCAGGAGGAGTGATGGCTACTGGCTGACTGTAGCTCAGGCTGGGTCCTGTCAATGAGAAACCCTGTTGTGGGCTTTTGGTGTCTAGCTGCTCAGAAGTATTTTAAGCTTTGATATCAAAGATGAAGGAAGATCTCTGTGAAGGTGAATGTATAATCGTGTCAGCTGTGGATTCCACCAAGAAAATCAACTACTTTAGCCACCTGAAAGTCTCAGAAAGACTCAGAGCCAAGGTAACTCAGTATCAAAGGGATGATGTGTAAGGACAGTCATTGGTTTCTAGCTGCATATTGATTACTTTGAAAAATGTCCCTTTTCCAGAAAAGTACAGACCTCTGAATTAAAATGCTTTAAGAACAGCCAATTAAATCAGAAAATTAAGTCAAAAAATAAAATGTGCTAAACTCCATTGTAACAGTACATAGCAATTTATAAAGATTTATTAGCTTGCATTTAAAAATTCTCGATAAATGTGAGAAAATATTTAAATTAGACATCCTTTTTATTATTAGCTCAATTTTGCAAAATGTTAGGCTAGAGGGTGTTTAACTAATGAAGTTAGATTTAGATTGGCAACTCTTCCAGCATCTCCATATTCCATAAAATAAAAAGCAATGATAGCATGCTATCCTGATGAAGGTGCTATAAAGCATAATGTGTGGTTTTCCTTAAATACTCTTTTGAACAAACATTTATCTTAATACTGATCAGGTTGGTCTGCTCTAACTGTACTTTTAGGAAAAGTACTTTATAAACAGCCTTAGAGATGAAGAGATTTCCAGTGTATTCATGTATTTGAACTCTTATTGTGGTATTTTAAAATTCTGATGGATGCCTATTGCATATAAATGATCTAAATATCATGTGAAAATCCAACAGTCAGTTTTTCTTGTATAACAAAAAAGAAAAAAGTCCTCCACTTAAATCATATTATTTATTTAACTTGATTTCTCAGCACCATAATGTAGTTCCAATGTACTGAATTAAGATCTCCAGCTTTATTATTCCTCGCTGCATTAAAAACTAAGGATTGTCCTTAGAATAACTGGCAATATTCTAAAAACCTATTTTCCAATGTTTACTCTATAAAACACTGTCTATGAAATGCTACTTATAAAGAGATTGTATATCCAAATGAGAAATGCTAGCTACTTCATCTTTATTGCCATCTCTTAGTTTCTTAGAATACATGCTATCTGAAACCAAGTGATTTCTCTCAACTTTGTTCCCTGCCTTAGCTCCAAGGCTATAACAATGCCTTACTATTAGAGGCGTTCAGCAGGAAGACAGGAATGAATAAGCACATGAACATTAAAAGCTCTGAACAGTTCTCTACTCAATAAACTCCTTTCATTTTTTTCTTACCCACACTATCTCACACCTATTTAATCACAGGTATCTTTTGCTTATTCTGGTAGCACTATAGAATATTTTATTAAAAACAAAAGAAAAGAGAGTACAGAGAATAATATAACAAGCATGCATGTGACCAGTACATATCTTAAGAATTAAGTGTTACAAATACAACAGAAGCTTCTTGGGAACCCTCTTCCACATATTCATCTCATAGTACACCTCTTCCTCAAATGAGGTCACCCCAACATTAGGACTCATACTCTCATGAGACTTACTAATATCCCGCTTTGAGAAATTCTGAGCTGGGGGAATGGTAAAGTCCCTTTAAACACTAAGATTTAAATTTATTTCAAGAGAGTATTTTGCAAATGGTCATCTGTAAAGCTATCCATTTACTGCATTAATACAATAATAAGTAAGAAATAAATAACACTATGATACAGGAGAAAGACAATGAACAACTGATGTAATGATGAATATAAAGAGGCTAAGCAGCTTCTCTTACAAATAAACTCATATAAAATCTAAAGATAGATAGATGTATATGTGCTAGGTAACTGCGTAAACATACAGTGACCTAAGTAAACTTAAAAATATGTTACTTAACCTAATCTGAGTAATTTAGAAACTATTCTGTACAATTGCAGAGAAAATTATCCTAACAGTTTTGACATACACCTGAGGCTGCAGAAGTAAAGCTGTGGCCCATCAATGCCACAGCATGCCCACATTTACATGAGGGATGCTGCAAAGAAGAGGAAGAGACCCTCTTTCTGAGTTCACTAAACAGTTCCTAATAAAAAACAAGTCTCTAACAAGATCCAGGATACTATGCTAGAGAAGCACCATGACCTAATATAGTTTAATAGGAAAAGAACTATTTTTAAAATTTTACTCAATATTTTTCACACCCTGTTTTGGTTAAACCTTTCTTCCTCAAATTTTCAAGTATCATTATAGATTCAGTATTCCTAAATTGTCTTAGAAGTGCTTTAAACATGCTCCAACTAAATGTTTTGCATATTGCTCTACTTCTTAATTTTATTTATAAAGGATATTAAATAGCCAAGTTAGTGAAAGGAAAAAAAAACAGTTGAACCCAGTACCTGCTCTGTGTAGAAAACCACATATACAATTAAATGAAGAACTAGAGCAACACAGAATATGATATTTTTGGGGTACATTAGCCATAATCCTCTCAATCTTAATCTTAGCCATTAACCCAATACTCCATACATCAAAACAAAGGATCACAGCATATAAAAATTTCATCGGAATTGGAGTCATGTAGTTTTTATAGGTAAATACATGGATTAGAAATTTCCTCCACTCTTGAAATCATTTCACTTTTCAAACGAACACACTGAATTCCTCTCCTGCTAAATACCAACAGAAAGTGAAATGTAACCTCACTCTTTGCCTAGAAGCCCAAGTCCATTCTCACATTTCAGCGAGTGAAATGGGTTCGTATCTAAAAATATTTATAAAAGAAGAAATTTCAGTTCCTACCTCCATTATCTTTTAGATGTAGTGCTATCTTGGTATCATCTGAAAGAAAAATTCAAAGTTATTACAAGAGAAAAAAATTTAAAAGTACATAAATCTCATGAGCAGTAATTATGTATTTATGCCTTAATAATAACATGAATCAGTTTTAATAGCTTGGTGAGTTAATTTCAAGTTCAATGAGAGCAAATCCTAGCTTACATGATGTAGTTCTAAAATTTCTTCATGGGATTGTAAGAACTAAGACTTTAGTAAAGTGTTACGTGAGTCTTAAGATCTGTGATAAAAGGACACTGTTATAATTGCAACTTAAAATGCATTTATTTTTAATTTTCTAAAATGAGTTACGTAACTAGACTCTACAGTATGACCTTTATTCATTTTAAAAATTAAGGTCAGGAAATTAATTGGAATACTAAAGATTTGTCAATATTTTCAAATTTAAATTCAAAGTAAATGCTTATTCATTGCTAATGAACATATCCAACATCACATGAAAAAAAATCTTTAATGGACAAAATGTAGGTAGGACATAAATTTTTTTTTAATATCAGTGGTTTGTTTCATTCTAAAGGGTAGGATTCAAATTGTTGGAATATTTCACAGGGTAGGATTCAAACTGCAAAAATATTTTCACAGGCTATATAACAACCCCAATTATATGGATTAACATACAATATTGGTTTTAAATATTTAAATAAAATGTATTTAGCAGCTATTCTCCACCTCACTTTATCGCTTGATTTCAGGTAAGTTTTAATATCCAAGTAAATTCAATTAAAATAAAAGGTTCCAAGTTTAATTTCTTATTCAAATGAAAGCAAGATTTATGACAGTGAAGAAGTGAGCCCATTTTCCACCCTCTCCAAACTTACTCATGGCCAACTAGTCTCACATCTTTCCTTAGTGGTGCCATTCTGAATAGATGGTTAACAAACTTTGGCTAACATACCTCTTCCCGCAATGAGCTGTATCCATGCATTAAGGTTTTCCGGTATGTTTTCCTTTCCTGGCAGAGGAAATGTTTCTAAGGACAATTTCTGTGACTTATACAGTGCCCTTCTGTAAGTTATGGACCAACATATTTTATTGATTGTATTCAGGAAAATATTAGAGGTGCATATAAGTAGAATTATCTATTGTTCAGAATCTAACATCAATGGTCATTTTAAATGAATTTTGCCTTTCTATCCTGTGACTTAAGTTAAATTCACTCATTGTAAAGTTTAACAATATGAAAGGAAGTCTGTATTTCTTTTCTAGGGAGAGCAAGTAGCCGCTACTGAAAGGCACAGTACATTCAGAGAATCCCAGCACGTATGTCTCTATTCCATAATAATTTTGTCTTTTCCTGTTCAGAAATCCAGTTTCCTTTTAAAAAACAAACACACAAACAAAAACATTTTCTTCTACAGAGCTACTCCAGACCATGTCAACACCGTGAGTTTTCCTCCTTAAGGAAAAAAACCCCAAAAAACAAAACACTATCTCCAGAGCACCTTCAGTGGGCAGGCTGGTGGGCAGCTGGGAGGTGGCAGCTCTCCGGGTGGTCGTCAGGACCCTGAATTGTGTGGTAGTCACTCGCATGGTTGTTGTGGACTGAGAAGAACTTTCCACTGGCTCTGTATTCTCACACATCTTCTCTTTTGACTAATAAGAGAAACAAATGGGAAAACAATTTAAGAGTGATCATATATATATTTTTAAAAATTACATCAAAGAAGTTGGTCTGTGAAGCACAAAAGACTCTCAAAATAACATGAGGGCTAAATTTTTGTACAGGATTATATTCAGAGATTTTGTTAATTTACAAAGTATGTAAAATAGATGGGAGAAAAAAATTGGATGGAACAAAGCATTTCCATCTTTAAATATTTGGATTTCATCATTTTCTGCTGATAACCTTTCTGTTTAACATAATATTACTGTTTACCTTGCCCTAGATTTTATATCAATATATTTGCAAAAGATATGATGTCAAAAGGGAAAGGCTCATATATGAAGAAAAATATGTAGATAATACATGCTTAAGGTTTCAAACATGTTTAGGCAAATGAAGAATGAATTCCCTTCGTATCAAACTGATAATTATAAATTCTAAAAATTTGATAACTGATCCAGACTATTTATTAAGAATAATCCCCCCACAGATTAAACAGGTATTTAAAATTTTATTTTTCTTTATGAAATATTGAAACCCCCCAAGCAAAGGATTGAGTAATAGCCATGTAGTCAGTTAGTCTATCTTTCCCCTAGCAGAGCAATATGAGGACACGAGGGAAAGGGGTGTATCGTATTTTTCACTTACAGCCTACAAAAGTAAATCCTATGACCTTCACCAGTAACAGCCTTCAGCATTCAAACTTCTATGGTTTAGAAGTTGGTGCTTCTCCCCACCTCTTTGTGCTTCAAAGAGCTCCAAGCCTCTGATGGGCCTTGAATGGATGGTAACTGTTCAGCACATGGAAGGTACTCATCCTACATTTGAACTTATTATTAAATAAATACTTAAACTTCTCTTGTCCTTAGCGAAGTACAATGTACTTTATTGCTGCTTTGGAAGAGTGGCTGAGATGGCTTTCTTTGTACTAATTGGATGAGACCCAGGTTCATTCTCTATTTGAACATCCCAGGGGCCCATTCAAGTCCCCCAGCTTTAGTTCCTTCATCTTCTCAGCCCCAAAGATCTCATGATCTCCCTCTTGACTCCACTTGAGTTATCACCTCCACACCCTGAACCTTACCTGTAGTTGGGGATACTTTATTTCTGAAAGAGTGACTCCAGTTAATCTATTTTCGGCCTATCCATGTCCCTGTTCACTCAAATTCTTCTTATCCTGGGACTACACAGAAAGCCCAAGCACAATAATTTCCTTCCTTGAAGTCTTCTTTCTTCCCATAATATCAACTTCTCTCTTCAATAATATCATGCATCTTTACCCTATTCTTCTTTCCAAATCACCTTTTCAGCAAATCACCAATACCAAATATAGTAAAAGGAAATCTGCCTTTTCCCTGCCTTCCTCCCAAACCAGGCACAGCTGGAGAGCGTTCATGCAGCCCCCTCGGGAGCTCTGCACGCTTACCCTTGCACCGCCCCAGGGCCTTCACGGGGCTCCACAATACTGGCCCACTTTGCTAACCTTCTCACGCATTACCCTGAGTATTAATTCAAACACCTGCACTCTACTTAAAAACTCCAATCCCATGGCACCTCTTCCAATTTTACCCGATGGGCTCACCTTTCATTTCATAAATAAAAGAGCCATCAGCAAGAATTCTTTAATTTTCTTCACATATCAGCATTTTTTGTATTTTGAAAGAAGGAATCTATCCTTCTTTCTGTCTGTTATGGTAGATGGAGTACTGTATTTACAGGTATTCTCCCAATCTCCACACTGGCCCAGCACAGCCCAACTTCTCAGGTACTTGGATGCAGAAATGAAGAAATATGAGGAAACCAGGGTTGTCAGGACCATGAAATAATGAGAACTTGAAGGAGGAGTTCCAGTTCTGTGCTGGTAATGTAATTGGAAGTGATTTGGTGTTAACTTTCAAAGTTGAACATTTAGCTAATGCCCATTCAGTAACTCCAAGTTAAGGAATATTAGGGAAACTTTTGTGCATTTGATTCAGGTTAAAATCATAAAATCTTTTTGTCCTGCATTTCCCTTAACCCCTCTTCATTCTTTTTGAGTCTTTGTTCCTTTTCTTGCTCTTTCTGGGAGCTTTTTTCTACCTTGTCCTCCAGCTTGTTGATTCAATCCTCTGTTTCACCTCGCTTGCTTTTGATTCCTTCTACTGTGTTCTTCAACTCAGAAATTGTATTCTCCATATACTACCCAAAGCAATTTATAGATTCAATACAATCCCTGTTAAAATATCAATGACATATTTCACAGATATACAACAAACATTTCAAAAATTTATATGGAACCATAAATGACTGCAAATAGTTGCAGCAATTTTGAAGAAGAAAAAAGTAGGAGGGATCACAATACCTGATATTAAACTATATTACAAGGCCACTGTAATCAAAACAGTCTGGCACTGGCATAAGAACAGACACATAAATCAACGGAACAGAATAAAGAGCTCAGAAATAAACCCATGTCTCTATGGTCAATTAATATTTGACAAAGGGAGCAGAAGCATAAAAATAGCCTCTTCAACAAATGGTCTTGAGAAATCTGGACAGTGACATGCAAAAAAATGAAACTCGACCACCAACTTACACAGTACACAAAATAAACTCAAGTTGATAAAAGACTAAAATATAAGTCATGACACCATAAAAGTCCTAGAGGAGAACATAGGCAGGAAAATCTCTGATATACCACACAACAATATTTTCATTGGTATGTCCCCTAGAGCAAGAGACATAAAGGAAAAGAATAAACAAATGGGACTTCATGAAAATAAGAAGCTTTTGCACGTCTAAAGAAAACATTAGCAAATGAAAAGTGTACCAACTAAATTGGAAAATATATTTGCAAGTGATACCTAAGACAAAGATTTGATCTCCAAAAAATATAAAGAACTCACACAATTCCACTCCAGGAACACAAGCAATCCAATTAAAAAATGGGCAGAGGACCTGAAGAGACACTTCTCCAAGGAGGACATATGGAGGGCTCAGAGACACATGTAAGGATGCTCATCATCGCTAGCCATCAGAGAGATGCAAATTAAAACCACAATGAGATACCACTTCACACCAGTCAGAATGGCTGTCATAAAGAAATCAACAAACAACAAGTGCTAGCAAGATTGGAGAAAAGGGAACCCTAGTACACTGTTGCTGGGAATGCAGACTGGTGCAGTCAGTGTGGAAAACAACTTGGAATTTCCTTAAAAAACTGAAAATGGAACTGCCTTTTGACCCAGCGATTCCACCACTGGGATTATACCCTAAGAATCCAAATATACCAATTCAAAAGAACCTACGCACCCCAATGTTTGTAGCAGCACAATATACAATAGCCAAGTGCTGGAAGCAACCTAAGTGCCCATCAGTAAACGAATGGATCAAAAAACTATGGTACGTATATACAATGGAATACTGTGCAGCAGAAAGAAAGAAATAACTCCTATCCTTTGCGACAGCATGGATGGAACTGGAGAGCATAATAAGTGAAATAAGCCCAGGGGTGAAAGACGGATACCCTATGATCTCACCTATAAGTGGAACCTAATCAGCAAAACAAAGAAGCAAGCAAAACATAACCAGGAACACTGAAATAAAGAACAAGCTGACAGTAATGAGAGGGGAGGGGAGAGGAGGAAAATGGGTGTAAAGAATGGGAAGTGTCATCAAAGACCCTTTGTATAAAGGACCCATGCACAAAGTCAAAGAGGGGAAGGATTGAGGGTGGGAAGTCGGGGTGGTTGGGGCAGGGGAAAGCGGCGGCAGGAAAATGAAGACAACTGTATTTGAACAACAATAAAAAAATAACAGAAAAAAATAAAATAAAATAAAATCATTTTGTAATAAAAAAAAATCTAGAAATAATGTCCATAAACAAAAGGCTAAGTGAAGAAAATATGGTTGTGAGACTATAGATCTAGGATGGCAGGGTTTGATGGTTTTGTTTAGTTGTCCAATTGTTTCACTAATGCATCCTTGAACCTATAAATTGCCTGGGATGTCAGGGGCACACAATACATATTAGATGAGTAAATGAATAGGGTATTCATACAACGGAATATATAGCTATGAACATGAATGGGCCACCATCACAGGCACCACCATGGATAAGTGGTAAGAACAAATTCTGAGTGATAAATTAAAAATTCAGACTAGTTTTATTTATTTTTAAAAAGGAGAGGCAAGGATGCAATGGAGCAGGAGCAAAGAGCCAGTTTCATAGTCATCACTAATTCCAGTTCTTAAATTGGGTAGTACAATAATAAATATTCATTTTTTATTGTTTTCAAACTATAGTAATATTATAACAATTTAAAAAAATTTTTTAAAAGAAAACAAATTAGAACACTTTCACAGCTCTCATTTCCATTCTGCCTACGGACTCTTCCATCCCCCCACCACGGCGGTCACCATCACCTTCCCGTTATCTTAGTCCAGATCATCAGCATCTTCGGCCTACGTTACATATGCGTACAGCTAAAGACAACATATTGGCCTCTTTCACCATACTCCGTTATTTACCCACAGCCAGGGTGATTCCTTAAAAAGTCACTTGAATCAAATCATTTACGTAATTAAACCCCTTCAGGTCGTTTTTTCTTGTCCAAGGTAAGGTCCAAACTCCTTCAATTTGTCACATTTTTGCCCCTTCTTACATCATCAATATCATCTCTTGCTATCCCTCTTCTTAGAATGTCAATTACCCTTCAGGCATCCTCTTAAAAATCACCCCTTCAGGCAAACCGTCTCTTATTCTACTTAGCAAGACCATACACTTGTAGATACCGTATCTTTGCTCCTTCTAAGTGCAGTCCTTTGTTCAGTGCTCTATCTACCCAATGGACACACTTCTTATACAATTCCACATTACTGGCACTTAGAATAGTAGATAGTAAGTGCTCCTATTAGGATTTGTACTTATAGAATAAACTCATCTCAAGAACAGAAAGAAAACTTAACTCTGATTTTAGGCATGAAAAATGGATTGGAGTTAGTGAGTTTGTCTTCTTAACTATAAATTAAGGGTAGGATTGCTTACCATAAAGCTAGTAATGTTGATAATTTAACTTCAGAATAAAATGGAAGCACCAAATATGACAGAATGTACTAGATTCTGAGCTTCTTGGGAGTGGAGAGTAATTTTTAAAAAGTTCTTTATAATGCTGTGTCAGCATAGGCCACAGAGCGTGGTAAGTTCCTCATATATTTAGGAGGGCTTCAAATATGATGGATTCTTTTCTGTGTCCTGTGGATCACGTAGGCCCACATTGAAGCAAGAAAATTAAGATGTCTGAATTACACCCTGAATCTTTATATAAATATAAATAATTGAGGTAACTGTGATTACATAAAAGAAACATCAAGGGGGGATGGGGCAGGGGAAAGTGGTGGGGGGAAGGTAGAGACAAATTTGGAAAAATAACTTAATTAAAAAAAACAACAAAAAAAGAAAGAAACATCAAACTAATAACACAACTATGACTCCATCAATATATTTTCTTTTTGAACTATGTTGTTAAATAAGTGAAGTGAAATAGCTGGATTAGTATATCACTGTAATTACCTACATGAATGTCAAAAGTTGATTAAAGTTTAAGAATATTCTCAAAGATGTAATTTATTGAGATATTTATGAGTCACCATACATAAAAACTTAAGAAACAATCTAGTAACTATTGATCACCTAATAGTTTTTAAAATAGCATTTTGACAAGATTTGCTTTACTGAGTGATAAAGACTGTATTAACTATTAATTATTTTTATTTAAAATTCCTACCCTAAAACTTAACAAAGGGAGAAGAAACATACTTTTCTTTGTGAACTTTACATATTATCTTTATGTGACCTTGAAATGGCAGTGTAAATGCAATTCACTAAAAACCTTTTAAACAGGTTAAAATTGCCTCTGCAATTGTACACATCTGTTTGAATCACTTCATTCCATCATTGTCTTTACCATGTTTGTCTGGGAGTTACTGTTTCCATGGTGTGTCACTTTTAACTTATATCAGTCCAATTTCCTTCGATCAATCTGTTGCTCCATACAAGTGATTTTTATAATTTGAGTGAAAAATATGAAAAATGGTTTCCTAGATGTTAAAAAAGCAGCAAGGGCTTAAGAGAACTACCCTTTGCTCACAGAAATTCAGATCCTGGTTCTGCTATTCCCTAGACACATTCCCAACTCTGGGTACCCTCACTGCACCCCCTACCCCCATTTTCCCTCACCTCTCCCTCTTCTACTCTTGGTAATGTGGGGGATGTAACAGCTCATACTTCACAGGGCAGGTATAAGAGTAACTGAGAAAATGCATACAAAGACATAAACCCCAAGTCTGACACATATTAGGGACTCAATAGTTGCTGTCTACTTTTACCAAATTAGGTGCCATTTTTGTTAAGTCATAGGAACTATATATGACAGCTTGGTCCCCAGAATCTTGTCATAATAAAGCACATGTGTACCTCTTCAGGACATCCACTGTCCACCCAGTCTTGGCGATGACGATCAAATCCACTGGAACATCTTCAGAGAAGACCACATTGCAGTTCAGAAAAAGGAGTAAGGGGTGTGGAGTGAGGGGCAAAAATTAAAAGAAAAAGATTGGTAAGTAGTTAATTCTCAAATTTTCAGTTTAGCACAACATAAGCATTCTTCTATAGACCTGCTAATTGGAGCAGCAGTGAAGAATTTACACTGTTCTGTGTACCAACTCACTCCCACATAGTCACCCAATGAGGATCAAACATGGCAACAGATGACTGCATGGAGGCTCACTTCACTGTGCAGGTCACCTGGATCCCCACTCCAAGGTAAGACTGACTGTTATTATATGACGTTGTTTTCCTTATTTTTTTCCCCTCATCATTCAAACAACTGGATTTTCTGTAAAAATACTGTACACGTATCATTTTTCAAGATTTCAGACCTTTTTGTTTCTCTTAAGTTTTTATATTTAAGATCCATAGTCATACGAACTCTACTGTATAATAAAGGGTTATCCCAGCAGGTCTGAGGTACCCAAATGAGCACATTCCAGCTCCTGGGAGATAAGCTGTAAGCCCTTGGAATGGCCTACTGGAGAAATGTAAGATAGCTTATGCTAACCATGCAATTAATGGTGAATGTTTGTCTTATACACCAGGAGCCCTGGGCCTGTTATTTCAGTGTGAACTATGTGGGGGCTGGAGACTAGAGATAAGGTTAGTCATAGAGAATTTCATACCTACATGACTGACCCTCAGTAAAAACCCTGGACACCAAAGCTTGGGTGAATGAGTTTCCTCAGTTGGCGGACATGCTGTGTGCGTTCACAAATGGTTCCTGGGGGAGTTAAGTGCTGTCTGTGTGACCTCGCTGGAAGAGGACAACCGGAAGCTAGTCTCTCTGGACTCTGCCATATGTGCATTTCACCTTTGCTGATTTGAATCTCTATCCTTTCGCTGTGGTACATGGCAACTTTGGGTATAACAGTTTTCCTGAGTTCTGTGAGTCCTTCTAGTGAGTCATTCAACTTGAGCGTGTTCTTGGGGATCCCCAACAAAACTATGATTGTGTCATATCTAAAAAGTCTAATTCAGCAAGCACTAGGTGAACCAGATTTTGTCCATTCTTTCTCTCTTCCTTAACTGGAATAATTTTCTGCTTCTAGCTACAGTCCATTGATTTTTTAAGACACAGAAATTACTCTCCAGAGCCCACTCTGATAAAGCTTCATAATTGCTGTTGATCATATTTTACTTTACTATTTAACTTTTCTCCTAAATATAAAATTCCATGTGCTTATTTACCAAACTAGATGATGAATATTTTAATGTTATACCCAGTGTCATATATGATCATACCTAGTGTGTCTTACACATGATTACATTTTCATATTAAAAATTCAAAATATTTGTTAGTCTATTAAAATTAAAGATTTATATTACCTCTAAATTTCAATATCTATGTATACATTTATATATAATATAGATGAATCCATACTGGTAAATGTTGATTTAAAGATATTTATACATTTAAAAAATAAATGGAGTCTGTTCAACTTTTGTCTTAAATTTTCTTACAGGGCTTATAGTGCTACTTTTTTTTCTACTTATTTTGCAGTGGGTCCACGTGGTGACTTATTCCAAGAGTCTTTGCCAGACATTATGTACTATGGCATGAATGAGCATAATTTAATTCAAGTGGAATGTGAAAACAATTCTACTGTCAACAAGAACAACAAAAAAGACCATATCGATCACTGTGCCCAGATATGATTCATTAGAGCTTAGCTATTTTATGCCTACCATCTGTGCTGAACAAGCTTGAGTATGGAATAAACATCACAGTGCGCTCTAGCATGCTAACTTTGAGAATTCCCAGGTGGTCAAGGCCTTCTCCGGTTATGCAACCAGAGTCTAACATTCAGAGTCTAATTCCAGATGAGCTAGGTGGTTGTTCCATCTTCTTCTTTTTGCCTTTCAAGTACATTTAAATATTGAAAAGTGTACATACTGACATTGTCTTTGCAAGATGGAAATATATTGATTTTCTGCAATAAAAAATATTTTTGGGAGCTCCCTGACTACAAATAATGAAAAGGAATAGACAATTCTAAAAATGCAGTTTGTTTTCACATACAGTACTACACATGGATTCCAAGCCAGTAGAAAATAGCATTTATCTCATAAGAAGACAATAGGAACCTTAAATGTATAGGTCAACTGAAATTTTATCTTAAGTAATTAGTCCTTTAAATGGTTAAAACAATTCCAGGGAAAAGTACAAAAACACTGCATTTTGCTTGATTTATTAAATGACCCCCCACCCCCAGTTATATTGTGTGAAATCAGGTTCTACTAAAAACATGTGATTCAATTAAATAATTCATTTATTCACAACTGATTCTCTAATAATTGATCTGTAGTTTACTAATTGCTAGGGTAGGAAGGCCTGACAATGGCAAACACAAATAAGATTTGGTCTGAAAAGCTTATGTATTCTGTAGCTTATAGTACTTTAAAATTTTAACAACACCGGATGCTACTTTTTTAAAACATTTTTTTTATAACCTAGTAATCTAAATAGCACCAAAAAGCAATTACAGACAGAAGACTGAGTGTATGTTATAAATTATTAATAAAAACCATGTTTATGTTGTTTCTGAATTCAAAATAAACCAAAAATCACTTTTGAGAAGAACTTCCTCCTTCCATTGAGCTGCTGCGTTGTTTTTTTCTAAAACACAGAGACATTAACTATGTCATGCTCCAGCATTTTGATTTCCCCACAATTTAAACACCGTTAGCAACGAGGCTCTTCTACATTGTAATCACCTAGTGTGCCTGCTGAACTCTAAATTCCTGGGTCTAGCTGTACAAGAATCATTCTCTGGTAATTTGGGTCTAGCAATTGTCACTGTATCACCCCAGGTGATTCTTATTATGCTGAAATCAGAAAACCACTGATATCCTGTGTGGTATGTCCACAAGGCAGGCCCCTTCCCACTCTTCCCAGCTACCTCTACAACCTATTTGCATAGCCCTTAGTGTCCCTCCCTGAATGTGCTCTTTGACATCTCTGCCTTTGAATGTGCTGTTAATTATGTCTGGAATACATGCCTTGTTTCTCATTAGTAAACCCAATAGAACCCACCCAGAAGAGTTAGCAACCCTTTCTCAGTGCCCCACAGTATCAACCCAATGTCAAGTGCTAGAATCTATTATTACACTATAATTGGGTATGTTTGGGCTTATCTTAACAAGACTTTGCGGAGAACATGGTTCAAGGGGAGGGTCTGAAGTCAACCTGCTTAAGCTGGAATTTGAGTTTGGGCACAAAACAGGTGTGTGGTCTTAGGCAAGTTATTTTTCCTATTTCAGCTTGTTTCTTCATCTGTAAAATGAGGTAGGAGAGGTTATGTAAGCATTAAAGTTAGAGCTTGGTACATAGTCGACATTTAGTAGATATCAACTGTTTTTCATACCTAAGTAATGACTGTAGTAAGTATGAAGCAAGGTTGACAATTGTTGAAAATGAATGTGAGATTTTCATTTTATTGACAATGTTTTGGAAAATTCTGTGTACATAATAACAGAAAATGTCCTTTACCATCATATTTGGGGACTAGTATAATAGAATCTTATGAGAGAGAAATTTCAGTTGCTCTCAAACATCGGACAAATCTTTATTCAGTATTTATAAATATGGCAGAGATTACATGGTTTTGTAAATATTTCTCAAAAACTGATTTAAATAAAGTCTGAGCTACTAACTATGTTTCCAATGTTTTTTGGAAGAGTTATTTCCTTCTTCTCACTATTCCCTAATTCCAAAACAAATGGATAGAGCTATACTTCAAATTAATTGTACTATTCCCCACTCAATTTCAATGGGATGTTGATTCAAAGCCCCCAGGAACCTTGTTAAGTGAGACCCATCAAATAAGGCAGCCTAGAAAACAAACAATAGCTTGTAACATCTATCCAACAAGAGATTAAAGGGTAAATGTCATCAAATCTCTAATTTACCTCAGTCTTGTAGAAAGAGTTTCAGAAATGACTTATTTTGTAAGGGTAATATATTCAGGTGAAGGAAATAGAGCAACTGTTAAAATATATACATAAGCAATACATACCATTTCACCAGTGAGAAGAACTACAAAAGACAATTTAGGAAAGAAACTTCACTGGATATTAAGTCTCAGACAGCACTTAGTTTCTAGATCAGGAAATCACAAAGTTTTCTGCAAAGGACTAGATCAAGTACTTTAGGCTTTGCAGGCTGTAGAGTTTCTGTCCTAACTGGTCATCTCTGCCAGAGTAGCTCAAAAGCAGCCACAAACAAATGTAAGAAGAAACGGTGTGGTTGTGTTCCAATTAACTATATTAACAAAAACCAGGAAGTGGGGCATATTTGGTCCATTTGCTATAGTTTGCTGAAACTCTTCTAGATTGCTATCTAAAATTAAAGATCTGTAAACTTTGGGACAAATACCTCATTAAGGTGTCTGTTGATTTCAACCGTCCCTACAGCCCTAGGTGTATTTATCATAGCGTGCAACCTGATGGGAAAATCGATGGTACATTTAGTAAATTTTCTTCCTACAGTCGGCAAAAGTGTGAAAAATGATCCTCCAGCATCAAAGAAATGGAAAGATACTTTTTAAAAAAGTGAAGTATTTTAGATGAGAAAACATTATCATGAAAAACAGCTGCGATAACTAATAACATTTTATCATAAGGTAAAATAGATAATATGAAGCTGTAAAATATGGCAAATTTATTTGATTTTGAAATACTGAAAATTTGTAATTGGAAAATTAGTTCGTGAAAATTAAAATTTTGATTATAATCATTGTTCTCAATAAAAAATTCATTAAAAAATTATATCTCATTTTCTGTGTGAAGCATGCTTATTGCTTCTAATTGATCTTACTTATGAGTAAGTGATTTAACTCCTAAAAAGATTTCTCCTAAAATCAAGAAATTTAAAGTTTTTTAGAATCTTTATGCTTGGACCACTCTGGGAGTATTAGGTGAATC